TGAAGGCTGGCTGGGTGACTCTGAGCCAATCACTAGAAGATGGGAGTTCTAGTCCCGCCTTAGGCATGAAAGCTGGCTGGGTGACTCTGAGCCAATCACCAGAAGACTGGGAGTTCTAGTCCCGCCTTAGGCATTTAGCCTAGATGGGTGACTGGAGACCCTTGTTCAAGAGGACTTCACCGCCTTGCACTCCCTTGGTTGCTCTTCTCACCTTCCTCAGCATCAATTCTCTTTGCTTGTCGTCTTTGACGTTTTTCCCAATGATGCCTTTGGTGTGGGGACTGTACATTCCGACGGGCCCAAATTTATTAAGGACTGCCTGATGGCCCACATCGCGAAAAAGACTGAAGAGGCACTTGGTCTGAAACAAAAGCGTCACCAAGTGAGAATGAGGTCCACTTTTATCGTACACTGCCAAGAGACCCTCTCCCCAGAGAAATGAACATAGAACAGTAGCAATCGCCCTTAGACTTATGCACCGCTTCACAGTGCTTCACAGCCCACTCTAAGCAGTTTACAGCCTGTTGCCCCCAATAATCTGGGTCCTCATTTGACCCACCTCGAAAGGAGGGAAGGCTGAGTCAACCTGGAGCCTGCTGGGATTCGAACCGCTGAACTGGTGACCGCTGGCAGTCAGCAGAAGTAGCCTGCAGTACTGCATTCTGACCACTGCGCCACCACGGATCTGTGGGTTGGAAGAGACCTTAAGAGGTCCTCTAGTCCAGCTCCCTGCTCAAGCGGGAGACCCTATACCATCCTAGAGAAATAGCTGCCCAATCTCTTCTTGAAAACCTCCAGCCATGGCGCATCCACAGCTCCGGGAGGCAAACTGCGCCATTGATCAATTGTTCTCACTTTCAGGAAATACCTTACTTCTAGGTTGGATCTCTCTTTAAAGATCTTCCACCCATTATTTCTTACCTTGCCTTCCAGTTCCTTGGAGGAGGTTCTTCCCTTTTCTCTGTAACAGCCTCTTGTGTAACTGGACGGCTACTATCGTATCACCTCCGGCCTTTTACTTCATTAACTAGACTAGACATAACGGCTAGGGCAGCAGTATCCTTTAAGGCTGAGAATGTCTCGTTTTAAGTACAGCATTTAAAAAAATCGATTTGTCCTTTAAAAAACGATTAAAGGCCTGGAGATTAAAACCTATGAAGAATGCCTGCAGGAATGGGATAGGGCCGTCTAGAGAAAAGAAGGACTGGCGGGGGGATGACAGGATAGCAGCATTCCAATATTTGAGAGACTGACACAAAGAAGAGGGAGTCAATTTTTTTTCCAAAGTACCAGAAGGCTAGAAGAGGACAAAAAAAAAATTAATCAAGGAGAGAAGCAACTTGGAATTAAGGAGAGACTTCCTAATAGTGAGAACAATTAACCAGTGGAACAACTTGCCACCAGAAATCATGGGTGCACCATCACTGGAGGTTTTTCAGAAGAGACCGGACAGGCCAGGTTCCTTCCAGCTCTATTCTGGTTTATTAATTGATTGATTGATTAGTTAGTGGAAAGGGTCACCTCCAGAAGTTGTGGATCCTCCATCGCTGGAGGTTTTTATGAAGAGACTGGACAACCCACTTGTCTGGAATGGCATAGGGTCCCCTGCTTGAGCTGAGGGTTGGACTAGAAGACCTTCAAGGTCCCTTCCAGCACTAATCTGATTGATTCTTAAAACAGCTTCCTGCTCTGGGCCTCCCGGAAGCAAGATGGCCGCAACCATCTTGGAAATCGAAAGCAAGAGAAACTCGACCGAAATCGAAAGCAAGAGAAACTCGACTGAAATCGAAAGCAAGAGAAATTCGACCGAAATCGAAAGAGAAACTCGACTGAAATCGAAAGCAAGAGAAACTCG